AAGTGAGTTTGCTCTGAACCAAGTGAGGAATCACAGTTCACCCCGAGCATCATCAGTGGTGTGTGGGAGACGCAATAATGACGTAACTTCAGGATCAGACAGGAAGGGACTCCTGAGGTCGCTGGGAGCAGATCCCAGCATCTAATGAGCCACCCTGAGTTTTGGATTATGATCATTCACACTTGTTCATTATGCACTCGAAACATGAGCTTTTAAAAATCCAATCTGCCTGTTCTCACAGAGCCCATGATGCTGAACGATGTAAACTAAGGACGCTTATAGTGGATATCCTGCCACCTGTAAGCCGCCCACATGTCCCACTGTGTCTCGTCTGTATACCAATTCACCTCAACACTTGTACAGTTTATTACAGCCAATTCAGTATTGGTATCCTGTATTTTTTTTGGATGCTTTTTCAAAATGTGTGCCGTTACCTCTCTTTCAGTCACTTTTACTATGGTATATCGAGTCTTTTGTGTCCCCCGTCCACTCCTGCGTCAGCCGTTCGCACGAGCCGCCTCATGCATTCAGGTCTTGCAAATGTGTGTTATCATTAGGATGTTTCTAAGCACTTAACCTCATGTTTCATGTCCCATTGTTGTGTTTTTGGAGCTGCCTTTTTTTATGGGGTATCATGTTTCCTGGGTCTTTTCTTTATTTCTGTATGCTGCTGCTGCTAAACTATGCATTTAGCATTTTTTGTTTTTTCTCCCCAAAGACTGTCCATAGTGAGGTTGATTTTCAAACTCTGGCAACGAAAGACCACATGTGAACAAGGTTACACCGCCAGGACCAAGATCCGGGTCTCCAGCAGTTTATTGAGAGCCATTAGGAGTGGAGCAGTACTGGTAGGGAATAATACTGAGGCAATGGGAGAGCTGAGACTTCCACCTAGTGGTGGAGATGCAGCACTGCAACATTACTTGAATTTTGTGCAAGTATTTAATTGGATAAAAAATGGCACTTTTACGTGATATTATCAGTGTTTGTTTTTGTTTGAGTGCAGTCTCACAAGGGTCTTCAGCAATAGCTTGATTTCGATCACTCGAGATGGTTTATCCAGAGTGAAGCCCAACCAACTTCAGTCGATGCTGTTTATTAAGATTCGTCTCTATGATTACATTTCTAAAAGATCAGCTTTTCGTCCTCTTACCCTCATTTCCTTTGGTGGCAAATGAATTTCAATGGCTTCACTAGACTTTTTAATGAATTAATATTTTGGATCACTGGTATCTTGAAGCCATATTCAGGTTTGAGATCAAAAACTTTCTCCTGTTGGAAATGGAGTAATGCAGAAATTATAACCTAGATAGAATTAATGCATACACAAATGCTTTATAACATAAAGCTATATTTTGTCTATATGTAAATGTGTGTATATTTCTAAATATGAAAGTAAATAAATCCAGTCTTTAAAATGTTTCCGAACAATTATTAGGGAGCCAAGCGTTTTTCTTAAATTGACTAAAACCAGGCCATAATTGCACTGTTGTATTCTCGGATACTAGAAATGTTTTTAATTGCTGAAGCTTTTGTGTTCAGCCTTGAATTACACACACAAAAAAAGTCCAATTTTAGACTAATACCAGCAGTTCAGAGCCCTAAGAAAAGATCGTACACCAGCTCCTTGACTTATGAATCATTTTATGTTCACAAAACCTCAAACAAATGTCTTGTTAGTGAAAAAATCTAAAGGAACCTGTTGCTTAGCCACTTTTTTGCCATTTAAACTAGCGAGGATAAACTTTGACCCTGACACAGTCACCGCTTCAGTCGTCACAGAGACAGGACCTTTTTAAAACGTTGAGAAAACTATAGGAAAAAAAATCTATTTTTGTACAAATGTAATTTTATCCCTTGCTTATATATCCTCCCTTCCTTCCTCTTTCTGTGGGCTGTTGTATACATTGTGTAAATGTTGATTTGAAGTGGGAAAATTCAAATCAAGAGCATTTGAAAGTGGATTGTGTGAGGGATGATTCCGACACCTTCACCCTTTTCACCTCCACTTTGCCTTTTGGTTTCCTTCTTTCGCTATCTCAGAGAGAAGGACTGTCCTCTCATCATATTTTGTCTTATTTTTAAGGAAATGAAAAAGGCATCTGTTCTACTTTGTGGGTTGTTCTTTGATGTTTTGTCTTTCAATCAAATTAAACGTCTAATTAAAAATATGATATGTGTTATGTCTTCACTAACTTGTTGGACCTACACATTTTCTATTAATTCCAATATAGTAAGGAGATTCTTGGGTTACACTTTATTTCGATAGTCCACTTTAGACATTCTACTAACTATAAGTAACTTTGTAACTACATGTCAACTAATTCTCATTAATCTGCATCTACATGTCTACTAACTCTCAGAGTAGACTGTTAGGGTAGGTTTAGGGTTAGTAGAATAAGTTGACAAAGAAAGTGTTAGAAGATAGTCTTAAGTGTTAAGCAGACAGTCTACTAATACTCTACTAACTGCTAGTTGACATGTAGTTGCAAAGTTACTTACTGTTAATAGAATGTCTAAAGTGGACTATCGAAATAAAGTGTTACCGATTCTTGCCTCATGGGATAAAAAATAATGCATGTATGTGGTTTATCACAGGTTTATCAGTATTTTCCAACTCTGAAGTTAATCCAACCATATTTGTAACTACACTGGGGTAGTTTTTTTTTTTCCTAGTACAAATGTTACCAACATACACAACGCTGAAACAATACTAACCCCCAAGGACGTTCTGTACGAGTAAACGAGGGATGCAGTGCCTTCTCAAACTATTGGATGAGAAAATAATCCACAGTACAAAAATAAAACCGCTGTAAATGGACAGACTCACTCACAACTCACCCACCCACTATTTATTGAGCGATCAGCTTGGTGAAATCCATCTCTATGTCTGTAACCACAATGCATTGTTTACCGAGAATTGATGTCTGGTGATCCAAATGGAAAGGGACTATTAAAAAGGGTAGCTGGACTTCTGTTCAGCAAACTATACATGAAATATAAAAATGGATACTGCATTTTTATACTGCGTTAAAAACATCTTGCAATATGTCAATGAAAACACTTTAATAAAAGAATAATTAGGCTACTCTACTTCAGGTCAGGGGACGTGGCTGTGTGACATCCATTGTTGTTCACACTGAATTTGGTGGAATTATTGCTATTATTCAAATATGAACATCTCTTTCTTGCTTACAGGCAGCACAACTACTAGTTATGTGCGAGAAAGCTTGCCTGTATGTGGCTGTGCGATTATTGCAATAAGGGTAAAATCTTTGCGTGGCAGATGCAGCTGCCACTCGACCTGCCACCAAAGATTTTACTCCTCCTCAGTTGTATTGTTTTGGGATCTGGGAAGATTTTCAGTTTAATCTACTAAATGGCATAGTGGTGTAAGTACACAACAGAGCATTTTCAAAAACAATCTAATTTTAAAAATATTCCAGAGCAGTTTTTCGAATTATTAGAGCTAATAGGCCTATATACACCCATATAAACATCTTTAACGTTAGTAAAATATTTCAATGTTACATATGTTGAGTATTTCCGTTTATTTTATCCAGTTTGTTTCAGTTTACCTTCTGTATGTTGTTGTTTTGTTGTTCCCCATCCTGACCTCTGCTGGTCACAGAGAAAGTGCTCACGGTTTTCTCAGTTTTAGACTGGTGCTGCCGTTTTCTCTGGGCTGCTGGATCCAACATGATTCCTCTCACTCTCAGACTTGCTTTCTGTTTAGATTCCTCTGGGTTTATAATTTTCTTTTTTTGTAAGGAAGTGTGTAATTAACTGTGTACTTACAGTAGGGAATAAAATATCAGCTTGCAGAATGATCGAACAGAATGAAAATGTCATCCTGTTTCTAAGCATTTCAGCAACATATTTTGTGTGTTTTGCATATTTTAAATTATGTGAAACAATATGCAATACTGAACATTTCAAACAGCAGTATGCTATTGTAGTCATTTTTTCTAGATTCCCTATTTAAAGAAATATGATTATAAAGAACTTGATTATCTTGCCATTTTCTTTTACATATACGTTACATAATGGTATGTGTTTCTTCTGTCTGCCAATTCACACCCACTACTTGTATTGCCAGAAGGTACTCTTGCTATATAATCCATACATTATGTATAGACCAGTGCTTTATTTAATGCGTTTAAAATGATTGAAATTGAAAAAAAAAGTGTCAATAAGAATATTAATTCTTTAATATGTAATAATTAATATGATTCATTTACCCATGCTTTTTAACATTTTTATTTTATTTTATTTTATTCTATTCCTTTTGCAGGTTGCCATCAGATTTATCCTGAAGAGGTCAGTGGACTTCCTTTTTGAAACTGTAAGTTGGCAAAACTTTATGAATATATCTAAATTAATCTAATTTATCCAAGTACAAGTTTGTGAGAAAAATCAAACATGCATATAATGAACCTTTTATTGAATTTTATTCTAGCCTGGATGTTTATATTCTGAAGTGGCTATAAATCTGGTGATGAAAGTCCCTAGTGTATATGCTGGAATGGTTTGAAGAGGAAGATGATTACATCCTCATCCTGGAGTATCCATGTCCCTGCAAGAGTTTGCGCAGATTCCTCAATGACAACAGGCCACGACTAAATGAATCACTGGCACGTGGCCTGATGATCCAAGCGGTCCTCAGAGCAAAGCACTGTCTTGACCGGGAGGTCTTCCATTGCAGCATCAAAGAAGACAACATGCTGGTCAATACATCGACGATGGAACTCAAATTAATAGACTTCAGTAGCAGTTGCCTTGTCAAATGTTCTGACTTTAAACATAACCTTTTAGATGTTAACTTTTTGTCTTAATGCTTACAATAAGCTCTAATAAGATGTCAGTCTTGTGTGTAGTGATTTAATGCTAATATGCTGCATTTACAAGCACAGATATGTGAAAACGGACAAATGAAATGTTTGTTCAGTGTAAGAATCTTTCTTTAATGAACAGGAGGTCACTACACACATACGTGCCCCATGAAATATCATGCAGGCCCAACAACAGTCTGGAGTTTGGGTGCCGTGCTATACTCAATGGTGACCGGAAATCAGACTGGATTTGACAGAATGATAGCCAATGTGACGATTGATCACACATTATCCAGAGGTAAGGGAACTGTTAACTACCAATAACACAAAGACGGTAGCATTTTCGTTACATGAATTTTCATACATGACAATGTTTGCATGTCACATGGACATACGTGACTAACCAGCTCTCTTGTGAAAACCTGCACAGAATGCCAGGATTTGATAAACCGGTGCCTGACTCGTGATCCTGCAGAGAGAGCAACTTTAGAGGAGATCTTACAGCATGAATGGTTTCAACAGGGACAAATGTCAGGAGTAGCTCAGGAGTCAGGTAGTGTAACATAGGGAAGGCAGAAGAGAAATCCGAAATTATTTTTGTGAAAAAGCAAGCAGTGCTTCAATTTTTCTTTACATTTATTTATTCAGCAGATGCTCCAAATCAGCCCCAGTGAGGGAAAACAGCACAAACCATTCAGCATAGAGTCTTCAGAGGGTCATGATTAGTTAAACAATACGCAGCAAACTTGGTGCACAAAAAGAAGAAAATTACTATAGTAATAGTAGTGCACAAATAAAGAAGCAGTAAATAGAAAAAAAAAACTTGGAAGAACTAATCTAGTGCACAAAAAAGGAAAAAAATGTCTTTGAAGAAGTATGAAGTAGACGGTGTAATGTAAAAAAAAAAAAAAAAGGAGCAAACTTATAGACTCTGTGCTCCTTATAAATCTAGTTAATTTATTGGGTGGGTGGGAAGGGATTGGCTTAATAAATCATTTAAAATTTTACATATGGAGTTTTTTTTTTAATGATACGCACAGACAAACACACACACACACGTGGTGATGATGTAGTGCAAACCCGCTTTTCTATTGGGTTTGTGTGAATTTGGAGGCCAAGGCATTAACAGAAATTTACCATCATTTTCCGCAAACCACTCCTTGATGATTCTGGAATGGTGCATTATCTGGTGTGGCATGGTGCATTATCCTGTTGGTAATGGCCATCACCGGCAAGGAACACAGTTCCCATTTGTCCACAACAATGTTCAGATACCTGACAGCTGTCAGGGATTGTGATATTGGGATAATGGGGCCTAAAGTGTCCCAAGGAAACATCGCCACAGCTTAACACTGCGCAGTACATCCAGGTGCCAAAAAGAATCATAAACATTAAGCATATGTAAGAGTTAGTGGATCCATGTGTTGTGTTGGTCTTCACATGTCTCATACGGCTGTCATGAATGAATTTAACGTTAACCTTGCAGTGTCCAACTTTTGAATTGAAATCACCCATCACCACGAGGTAGATGCAGCGCATGTTCATTGCCTCCTCAAGGTCTTCATAAAATAGCTCTACCTCTTCATCTTCTGCTGCTGCGGTAGGGGCGTGGAACTTGTTCTGTTGGGGAAAGGTAAGGGTGAGGATGCCAAAACGAGGCTTGGACACATCTAAATGATCAGTGTGCTTTGCCCATTCGCTCGACACAATAAATCCAATTCCTCCTACACTCCTTAATCCTTCCCCAATTCAAGTGCTACTGTTGATCCGTCCTTCCACTCTGCATAAAGTTCTTTAAAGGGATAGTTCACCCAAAAATGAAAATTCTGTCATTAATTACTCACCTTCATGTCGTTCTAAACCCGTAAGACGCCCGTTCATCTTCAGAACACAAATTAAGATATTTTTGATGAATTCTGAGAGCTCTCTGACCCTCCCATAGACAGCAATGCAATTACCATGATCAAGGTCCAGAAACGTAGCAAGGAGATCGGTAAAATAATCCATGTGACATCAGGGATTCAACTGTACTTTCACGCAGCTGACACAGAATAGCATACGCTGTTTACGTCCAGCGGATACTCTCCAAAATGGCACCAGGGTGACGCGGAGGAGACGAATTGTTGAATAAAGTCGTTATTTTTGTTTTCTTTGCATACAAAAAGTATTCTCATAGCTTCGTAAAATTACGGTTGAACCGCTGATGTCACATGGGTTATTTTACCGATCTCCTTGCTACATTTCTGGACCTTGATCCTGTTAATGTGACCGCACCCTAATACTAATGCTGTTTCAGATTGCTGAGGTGTTGTATCCAATGGCAGACTACTGGGAAGTAGACCTGAACCGTCTTCAGTATTTCGAGGCCCGTGGATTATCGCTATGAAGAATTTATCAGAAGAGGGGTATCAAGACCTCAGTTATTTAAGCTAAACAATTTCCCTTCTACAGTAGCTCTGAAAGTTTGTTTTTGCATATTAAGACTTGACGAAACATATCCCTTTTCTGCTTCACAAAAAAAGGGGAAAAAGTGTTTAGAATGACGACAGAACTGTAACTTCAGCATCATATCATTCTCATATAATACTTGGTTTTCCAATAGTGAAGAGAATGAAATATTCATGTAACTGTTTGAGTGTAAACATTCTTGTGGAAGAGGAGTCCCTCATTTACAGGCCCAACACATTCTCTTGTATGTTATTTGTTATTTTACTTGAGGAATCAAACTAATTAGCAAAATCAAAAACCTGACAACATCAGTGGGCAACATGCAATGCAGTTGCATCCTGCAGATGTTTTGAAATACAGTCTTACGATAAATGTCCTTGTTCTATCTGTCAAATAGGAAAGAGGGCCAAAGATGAATGACAGCGACGGCATTCAAGACCACATCCTGCATTACACTGCCATCTACCTCTCAGAACAAAGTCAGACCAATGAAAATAGCAAAAAAACAGTCTACCAAACCAAAAAAATCCTCAGGCTTTGCTCTTGATCCATCATCAGACCAGTTTCAAAGTCTTCCTCCAACACCAGAACACAGTGTGTCCTTGATATGTGAATATAAGAGATGTGAAAAGACGCACTTGTTCACAACGGATCAGACGATCAGGAGGACCCCTGGGTGACAAATAATGACAGCAGAGTGATGGTGACTTCAACAAGCAGGGCTTTGAAGCTCTTTGAAGGCCGTCTCTGTGTCAGCGATGCAGCTATGTGACCGTGAAGACTCCATCTCCACTATGGGACTGTCCACCGCCGCAGTGGTGGCCATTAGTGTATAATGTTCTGGTAGCCAGGGAGAGTCCCAGTGCTGACTCTAGAGAACGCACATCAGAGGAACGAGCAGAGGTACTTGCTGACGGCGTGAGAGAAAAAATTGGCAACGGAATGCTGTTTATATTTTGTACTGCCTGCAGCAATCAATTGCAGACTGGGCGACATGGTTTGTCATGAATTAATATTATTTTGAAAACATAATTTCAGAAGTTTCTTTGCTGTTCATAGAGGCCTGCAAAAGAAACACTTGAGGACGAAGAGTGATTTGGCTCAGCGTGGGCTGCTGGGACTGTACCTAAGCTCTGTTATACTGAGTGTTTTAGGTAAAGAGACTCTCAATCGCCTCTTTAGAGCCATTCAGTAGTTCCTGACCATGTCAGTGAAACCCCATACTTGCACCTAAACAGCTAGCAATCAGCACTATGCTAATTAGCAGGTGAAAACAAATAAAAGGTCAAGGGCAAGAACAGAACTGTGTCTGAAAGAGGAATTTTTATGTTTTATTGTGTTTTCTGGCATAAACAGTAGATTTATGATTATGAATGTTTAATAAATACAGTGAAATATCCATACAAATCTAGAGTTTTTTTAACATAAAAAAGTTATGGCATACATTACAGGCTACAGTAAGACTATTTTTGGCTACTCTCACATTTCTAGGCAATAGATAGTTAAAATGTTTAAATTTAAATTTAGCTGTGCCTCAGTTCTGCTGATTGTTCCCAGGCTATCTCAGTAAGCTCAACAGTTGCTCCATCTTTGCTTTTTCCACCTCCGGACTCATCGGCAATTCCTGACCCTTCTTGTCCTGTGGAGCCAAAGAGAGAAATGAAGAGGATGAGGTGAGTCAGCTGCTGGTAGTGAGAGGACAGGGGTGCCACTAACAATCACAAACACTTCTCAGTGTGAAGCTCCCATTTAGGGCTGCAACTAACGATTATTTTGATAATCGATTAGTTGGTCGATTATTTTTTCTTTTCTTTTCTTTTTCCGATTAATCGGATTAAAAACAATTTTCTTTTTTTATTTTATTGACAAAAACACACTATTCCACATTCTGCCCAATGTCCTTAAAACAAACGTTCCAACTGAATGCTATGAAAACATACAGTGCTTAACAATTTATTAGACCATCTGCCATAATAAAGAGAAAACACATTTTACAAACTCAGTGGTAACCAATAGGTAAGAGTAATGTTCTGCAGGAACACACGTTTCGATTTGGACGGTAATTGTTTCTCATATGGACGTCTGTAAAAATAAATTTACTTATCACCTCAGTGATAAAACTCATTGATTACGAATAGGGCTTAGTGTCATTTGTTTATCCTGTAAAAGGCTGTTATGAAGCGTCTGATATTTATATTCAGACAATTACACGCTTTTATCCCCTTACAGTTCCTACTCTCATAAAATATGCGCAATGCATGTTGACCATTAAACCTTAATTTAACTTTCAACAACAGATATTTCAGCACAATAAATGTTTTTGCGCTGATTATTAATTGTCTCTGTTTTCCGTCTGTCTGACGCGCGTGCACGCGCTGGCACTCATTCAGTAAAGATTAAAATTTAACACAGACTGTCAGGACGGACCTTTATGCAAAAATGGAAATGCTCGCGTGAATTTGTGACATTTATACATAAGGATATGACCGTTAACTGAAAGTTTTTTTAGCTTAAAGCTTAAAATAAAGAATTCTCATGTTTTGGGCATAGACCACCTGCCATAATAAAGAGAAAACACATTTTAGGAATCTGTCAAAAAATTGTTTAAATCAAAATTTTTTTATTGTCATTTATTTATAACTAAATACTTTTATTTATTCACATAACAAAAATGGCCTCCTATGCCCTTCATAGCTTGCGTTCTTGCTGGCATTGTTTAAGTACTTTTTGACTGTAATTGGGTATCTGAAAAAAAAACACTATAAAGCTCTCTGCCTTTCTTTCATAGATAACAGCAATAATTATATTATAGCATTAGAAACAGCCTACTACTGTTACTAAAGAGCTTATGCATATTTGAGGACTAACCCATACAGAAAGCTAAAAAATTATTTTGGTAATCACCAGTACTGTTAGTTTAGAGCAGCAGTGGCACAAACCATAATTTGTTAATAACCTTACATAAATTTGTTAAGCATTGTATATAGTGAATATAGTTTAAATCTGTGCATTGAAAATTAAAATAATAATAAAGATGATAAAGACGAATGAAATCACAAACTCAGTGGTAACGAATAGGTAAGAGTAATGTTCTGCAGGAACACACGTTCATTTGACCACAGTCACGTCATAGCCCGATTTGGACGGTAATTGTTTCTCATATGGACGTCTGTAAAAATAAATATAGTTATCACCTCAGTGATAAAACTCATGGATTCCGAATAGGGCTTAGTGTCATTTCTTTATCCTGTTAAAGGCGGTTTTGAAGCGTCTGATATTTATATTCAGACAATTACACGCTTGCTTTTATCCACAGTTCCTACTCTCATAAAATATGCGCAATGCATGTTGACCATTAAACCTTAATTTAACTTTCAACAACAGATATTTCAGCACAATAAATGTTTTTGCGCTTATTATTAATTGTCTCTGTTTTCCGTCTGTCTGACGTGCGTGCACGCGCTGGCGCTCGCTCATTCAGTAAAGATTCAAATTTAACACAGACTGTCAGGACGGACCTTTATGCAAAAATGGAAATTCTCGCGTGAATTTGTGACATTTATACACAAGGATATGACCATTAACTGAAAGTTTTTTTGCGCTGAGGACGCACACGCATCTGTTAAAGCGCCTGACAGAGCAAGCCATTACGCTAATGCATTAGCTTAAAGCTTAAAATAAATAATTCTCGTGTTTTGGGCAGCTTGGATCACGTAACTCTACTGCAGCATCTCATTCTGTTTCCTCCACTATTTTAGATGCATTTTGTCCATAGAAATAAGTAATTCAGTGCTTTAATTTGACGCGACCGGCTGAAGTTGGACAAGTATGTAAACTCCGTGGACGTGCACTGTGGGCAGACCCGATTAATCGATAGTGAGAATCGTTGTCGATGATTTTCATAATCGATTTGATCGATTAGTTGTTGCAGCCCTACTCCCATTTAAACGTTTCCATCTCGACCGGCGGAGGTAATGAGAGAGGTGTTAGCGTGACGTTATTTCCTCTGTGTGTTGTGCTGTGGTGGAAAAAAACGCTAACACCGCGGCCAGAGACTCGCTCCAATCTCGCATGACATTTGTCTGATACGATTACAGTGACACATTGGTCCTTTGGGGGAGAATAATCAAAGATCACTTACTGACCATGCCATGATTGTAATCAACTAAACCAGATCAGATGAACTTCTCTGCAGAGATGTAAATCACTAATTAAACGCTATTCTGTTCCCGTCAATCATTAGGCAACATTTTAAGGAATTATGAGTCTAGCAATCATTCTGAGAACATCTGCTAAATTTGCTCAGCAGAATGCTAATGTTCAGATATTCACAGAGCTGCAGTGGAGGGATCTTCAGTGAGCTCTAATAAGCAGCTCAAAGTTACAGCTATTAATATAATCAATCAAATCCTAACCAGGGAGGGCCATTGAGTGGAATAAATTTGCTAAAATGACTATTTTGAAAATTATTCACATCATTTGACTTTGAAGCTGTCACAAAGATGCAGATACAGCAATTCAGCACATGTAGCACAGCACTGATCGATTAATAATGTGATTTGATTTTTCATCTCCTACCTTAGGCTTCTTGCGGAGGTTGGGAGAGAGCTTGAGGCTGGTGACATGGCCGTGGCCATCGCCCACGATGATGATGGGATGGACAGGGTTGAATTCAATGTTGAAGAGCTTGGTCTTCTTGGACACCACTTTTTGCTGGCAGAGAGCCTCATATTTGTTGATGCTGAGGTCGAACACATGGACCTGAGAGAGAAATGGAGGAGGAGCAGGCAGTTTTAGTCTTTGCATTAATGTTGTGTGAGTTTATGGTTTGATATTTTCAGTGTAATTAGCACCTCTATAACGTATTCTCTTGCAATCATCAAGCATAAGATAATGGATTTTAAATTTAATTGTAATCACATCATCCTCATTGTCATTCATGTATCATGCTGCCCACCTAAGAATAGTCTCTGCTCTAGCAGAAGCCAGAGACGGGAGATGGGGGACATAGGATACAGGCTTAGATACTCATTAGTACATTTCTCGGACATTATTATTACGATAAGTGGTTTGGAAAATGAATGTATGGATGATTCTTTCTGATTATTGATTATTTTTGTTGTTATTATCAAAATAGAATTTATCTTAGTCTTAGAATGCAGAAATTGTGGATTTTACTATTGTATATCTCTAAAGAGGAGTCGGTTGCGCTGTTTACCTTTCCTTCAGTGGTGACAGCAGCAAAGACAGTGGAGGAATATGGAGCCCAGGCCACATCTGTCACTGCAGCTCCAATTTCCAATTCAAAGGTGAACATGGGAGACCTGTGAGAGACATGTATTGTTACTTTTATAAACTACTATTCAGTCCAAATGAAGCTCTAACAGAAACTACATTGCTCCCATTCTGAATTCATCTAATGTGGGCATGCATAGAGAGAGAGAGAGAGAGAGAGAGAGAGAGATGCAGAGCCTTTGTTCAAATGTGGGCTGTCGGAGTAACTGATGTCTAATTGTGAAAAATAACAGAGGCACGTCTGGGGCTATGCTTTAAAAGCATCAACAAGACTGTCACAATCAGTAAGAATAAGAGAGAATCAGTAGTACCACATAATCCCAATTAAAGGAGAGTGCTTGACACTCTTGAGTTGACAGATGAATTTATCCGCTGGCATTTGTATGACTTGACTATTCTCTGTATATCACTGCCTGCCACTCTCGGAGCTTTTACCATGAGATTAAAGTGATCAGTTTTCAACTTTACAGCAACACACATTTTTAGTACAGGAAGATTAATATACACTGCTATATAAAAGTTTGGGGTCCGTAAGATTTTTGATGTTTTTGAAAGAAGTTTCTTACATTCACCAAGGTTGCATTTATTTGATGAAAAATACAGTAAAATAAATAATATTGTGAAACATGACAATTTAAAATTACTCTTTTCTATTTTAATATATTTTAAAATGTAGTTTATTCCTATGATGGCAAAGCCGAATTTTCAGCAGCCAATACTTCAGTCTTTAGTGTCACATTATGCATCGGAAATCATCAGCATTGCCACACAGATTTTGATACTTGGACAGCTTAATAAAACAGGCTGTGTGCCACAGTAGACTAAAGGCTAGCTGTTGGTGCAAATACGAGGTACATTCTTGAAATAAACACCTAATATTTCTTTGGCACACGTAGTTAACATAACCAAAAGTTGTTAATATTTGTTAATATTATTTGAGGTACTGTATGGTGGAGGGGCTTGTGTGCTTAGAACTTAATTGCATCTGTCGGGTACACGCTTAAATGAGAATTGATGCCATGGGCCAAATTTAAATAAAAACTCAAATGTAAAATTAAAAAAAGAAAAAAATGTCTTGGACAAAAAGGGAACTTGTATAGTCAGAGGCCAAAAGGGCAGGTGCCTGCCAGTTATACAAGCTACACGGGATGATCTATTGGTGCAAAATTTCACATCAGGTAAAAAACTATATTTCAACAACTACAAACTGTATATGAGAACAACAGTTCCTATGTCAACAGTCTAATGAACAGAACAGCCTTAAACAAAGTACAGTGGCCTAATAAAGAGTTAAGAGCCAGAGTTTTAATCAACGCATCAGAATTACCCAGGCAGTGCAGCGCTTGATTAGCCTACCCAAAAAGAGTGAGAAGATGTTTGGCCTGTTGGTGAGATTTGGTAAATTTCCCTATAGTACAACCTAGTCTCTATACTGTCAAATAATGCTGTTATTTAAATTGTAACAGGCTGGGAAAGGCTGCAGGAGACAGTGCTGTAGGGAATAGTGCTCATACTTCATAGTTTGATCCCAAATTTTGACCATCCAGTCCCAGCTGCAAGAGATGAAGACATCAGCATGGAAGGGATTCCACCTCACACGAGTGACATTCATGAAGTGTGCATCATATGTCTCCACGAACCTATTATAGAGTTTGGAGCCCTGTGAAACACAAACTCATTACTTGGTAAATTAATGTTACAAAACTGCTGTTTTGTACACAGCACTCTTGCTCCTGTTATACTGCTTAACTATCCACTGGTGGTTATGAATAACACTTGCAGAAGTAATAGTGACATTTAAAACATTCCTTGCAAAGAGATCGACACCATTATTGTTGTATTAATACTGCAGTCTGTTAAACTTTAAGGGATGTTGACATGATGCATACATGCTTATTTCTATAATACATGTGAATGGCAAATACCTTTGTTTTGATAGGTGGAATTAACAGCATTGTTCGTGTGTGTGTGTGTGTGTGTGTGTAGAAGTGGAAGGATGTTGGAGTCAGTAGGAGTAAGTAGTTTTTGCATGTGATGGTTGTAATAGTCATACAGAGCAAAGTAAAGCACATAGATGAGAAACAAAACTGTCTGGTCTGTAAAAATGAATAGTTTGAACGCTAGTCTACCCCTGGCTGGCAGAGTGATAAATATAAATAAAGAAGGAGAGACAGAGACAGAATGTTATTAGCTGATGTCGCCCCGTGCTGCAGTGATAGCAGTGCAGAGACATAACCGCACAATCTCTATAAATCACACTTAAGAGAGTGTGCAGTTATAATGTTTCCTCATTTAGTCTCCCCAAACGGTGTGCGTTGTTTTACTACTTTATTTAGCGTTGCAGAAACAGGCAGCTAATAAGAATACTTCCTTGTTTGATGACAGGGATATTATAGACAGTGACTGCTCAGCAGGAGACAAGCACCACAAACACAACAAGCTCCTTCTCCCTGATTCTAACACAGAACAACGAGATGACTCAAGACTGCAGGATGTTTACAGGGTATTTGTTAATGTAAAATATATAGATTGAAAAAAAAAAGTTTAGCTGATTAATTGTATGATTGGCCTTGGTGTAAATGATCATCTTGCCTGTGATGGTGTATGACTGACCTTGTGAATCTTTCCATACTCGGTGCCAACAAGAAAATTGTCCTTTTGTTTGTGGAAGTCCAGATTTGTTCCAACTAGTCCCATAAAGAAAATGTCTTCAGTGAGTATGATAATAATTCATGCATGCAATATTTTACCATTATTTTATCATTAGCACATATATTCAGTTTGACATTATTCCTCTGTTCTGTGATTTCTAAAAAATGTGACCATGGACCACAAAACCAGTCATAAACAGATTAATGCATCATCTGAAAGCCGAATAAATAAACTTTATATTGATTCCATTGATTGGTTTGTTAGGATAGGACATTATTTGGCTGAGATACAACTATTTGAAAATCTGGAATCTGAAGATGCAAAAAAAATCAGAAAATTGCCTTTAAAGCTGTCCAAATGAAGTCATTAGCAATGCATATTACTAATCAAAAATTAAGTTTTGATATATTTATGGTAGGAAATTTACAAAATATCTTCATGGAACATGATCCTTACTTTATATCATAATGATTTTTGGCATAAAAGAAAAATCAATCATTTTGAACCATACCATGTATTTTTGGCTACAAATATCCCCATGCTACTTGAGACTGGTTTTGTGGTCCAGGGTCACAAATGATCTGTGCTGCGTTTCCCAAGAGCATCGTAAGCCTAACTTGACCATAGCTCTATTGGTTTCAATGGGTCTACAATGTACTTAAGCTTATGATGCTTTTGGGAAATGCAGCCCTGAACATATTTGGAACTGATAAGAAGCTCCTTTGACTCAAACATTTAACAAGTCATCTGAATTATCATCAAACCTCAATATCACCCATGAATGAAACACTGTCATGCAAAGCTAAATGCAAATACCAGCTGCAGCAAGATTATATTTACATCTGTATTACGTACAGGAAGGATGGGTAAAGTTTTTATGATTGTGAATGTGATTACATTTCCTGTTCTAGATTGTGAATATACAGTAGTCACAGCTGACGGGCCCCTGTCCTTATACTGAGAGAAACCCCCACTCACATCCTCACTGCATGTTTTTATAAATATCATTTTGTTCATATTGGTTGTGCAATGAAAGCTGCTAATAATGGAGCATTATTAAATACTTGTATTACATACTTGTAATTACTGACCAGTGTGGTAAGGTGGTTCATACCTGTGGAAAAGACATCCTTAAGGTTATCAGGAATTGTGTCTGGGACTGGGAGCTTGATCATGTCTGTGAAGACTAGTTCATGCTAAAATTCAAATGACTGGCATCAGACAACCTCATACAATAATGACTTGCTTTAGAATCAACCTTTAGATATTTCCTTCTGTACCTTTACCAGAGTCCAAGACACCACTCGTCCATCAGCAGACACAGAGATGAAGTTGTGATTACTGTCCAAATCATCCTTCTGCCACTTCACCTGTAATGAAGACAATGAAACACAAAACACAGTACAGCCAAGACTTTCTTATCAGCCAAGCGTCACAGGAGTGTATATTTATGTAAGTATTTTAAAACAATAGTACATTATATAGTAGATTTGCACTGTATTGTGGGATCAGAACACACTACAGCGCATGCTCTGGTTGTGTACTGCACATTTTGGTAAATATGTACGTAGATAGTAGACACAGTAGACAGTACTGCATTTACTCCAAATTACAGAACTATAAGAGTAGAATGGTACTATTCTGAACATTGTATTAAACATACAGGTCCACTGTCATATCATACTTTAGGTAGTGAAAGTTTACCAGAATTGTTTTAATTGACTCCATGGTCACATCCTCATCCATACCTGTGTCACAGCGCCTTTATGTCTGCCAGGGTTGGCTCTGCTGTTCCAAAAGGGCTCATCACTCTTTTTCCTTAGGTTATATACTGCAACACAGCCGTCATACAAACCTACAGCCACCAGGTGGGACAGATGCTCATGGATATCTACACACATTACGCCTGAGACCGTGTTAAAGATGAATTCTGGGTAATTGGGGTTCCTCAGGGTGTACAAAACAAGCATGCCACCCCCCTGCTGAGTAAATTCATCTGAAAGGGAAAGATGTAACATTTCAGAGCCATTTAAATTACAAATGATTGCTTGTATATGGTAAATAGTAAACTTACGTGACCCAAGACCAACAGCAAACAAATCACTGTGTTTTTGATCCCTAGAAATAAAAAATATAAAAATGCCACTCAAAGAAGTGATTTTTATTTAACTTATGACTGCATTTTTTAATACAGTGTTAAACTCACCAGCAGAGAGCAGTCACAGACAGACTTTTTGCTTTATCATACTCGAATTTCCACAAAGGGAGCAGAGTGCCCTTCTCTCCTCTGAATTCATCAGATGCATCCTCAAAATGCTTGATATCTGGGGTTGGATATAAAGACATTTACATAAGAAAAATACATGCTCTTTTTAATATCTGCCCTTCTGTCTGTAATCTAAAATTATGGGTGTAGCAGTGAAAATAAATAATTTCTTATAATTACCATATAAAATGTCTGCATATGCCTTGTGAAACACCTTACCCTCCACGTACCTGGCCAGCCCAGCCAGATGGGCTATATCATTAATCTATAAGCACAAGAGGGGATTTGTTAAAAAAGATAAGTCATTTTCTTGATGAAAGTGTATGCACTTTGTTACAACACAACCTTAATTTGTGAATCTTCAAATTCTTCCTCCTTTATGGACTGATGACTTGATTTGTCCCGCCTCTTAATTTCCTCTTGGTAAAAGTCATAGATTTCCCACTGCAGAAAGAGCAGGGCATGCTAACATTGTATGTGTCCATATTCACCGTAATACATAGTTTTGTTTTGCTGCAGGTCTAACACAAAATTTTGATCAAAATAATTCACCAGCAAATTAAAAGTTTTTCTCACCTGGCTGGCTGTAGCACTGAAGTTGGCGAACTTGGTGGACTTTGGTGGACTGGTTTGAGTTGCTTTGTCCTGCAAAACATTGTTAAAAAAAAAAAAAAAAAAAGCAAATAGTGTTGTAATGTAGCCTAATAGTAATAATTAATAGTAATAGCAGTAATGTAACCCATAGGACCAAGACTCTTCCGCTGCTATAGAGTATCTGAAATCCCAACTTCCAGATATAACTATCAGATATGTAAGGGATAATCAACGGCTTGCCGTGCATTAAAGAGTTTTAAATGCACGACGTGGAGGCCAAGACGTCATTTGCCAAGTTAAAAGTAGTATTGCTCTTTGCAGCGCAATGTTTTACCGGAAGGGTAAAAATTAGTTATTTTCGTCAGGTACGGTTCGTTAGCTCTAGCATGCTGCCCGCATCAAATCAGACACAGAGATGAAATAGTGCAGTAAGATCACATTTATTTGAATGAATTATAGCATTTATTTCAATTAATTATCGAGAGAGAGAGAGAGAGAGATGACAGTTGTGTGTGCTTTAACGTTACCTGCGTCTGCGCGTCTCTCTTCAAACAATTAATTACTTCAAAAACAGCAATTTTACCACCTCGCTGTTGAGGAATATAATGAAGTGATCT